TATTTATTCTTTATTTTTAGTTGTTTTTATTTATTTTATTTATTTTTATATTTCTTCTTTTCTTTTATTTTATTTTCTTTTAAATAAAAGATCTTTTACTCGACCTTCATCACTTTAAAATTTGCTACAACTTGATAGTTTTTAGTAAATTTTATTACAATATTACTGTGCTTTTCAAATTACTGTGACCAGTAAATTTTATTTATTATACTGGAAATCAGAGATCTAAAAAAAAATGCAAATTTGTGTGTAATATACAGAATTTGCTGATCACAGTAATTTGAGAAGCACTATAATGAATGATCTTTATACTTACTGGCCAAATTAATATGAATAAAATTGATTGAATATTAATAAATAATTTTTTAGTTTTTACTAAACTTTGCTTTCAACTAACTATTAATTCATCGCATCTTTTTTTGGTTATTTTTCAACAAAAAAAAAAAAGATGTTCACCACTAATAGCTAATATAAAATTATAATAATGTTTCAACATGACTGAATGATATAAGACAAAATAAATATAATAACTATCATAGTATTTATCTTATTAACCAAATGCAAATTAAATAAATTAAGAGAATACATAACCTAATAAAAAAATCTTGAATAAGTATTTTTGTATTTGGAATTACTGATTTAGACATGTAGACTAATAAACAATCTTTATAGCATGAATAAAATGCGATTAAACAGAACTTTGTGTTATAATATTTATCAGAAACCTATAAGCTATAGGATATAACTTTCTGAATTTAATGATTTAAAGTTCTAAAAATGAGAGGCTGATTTTAAATAAGTAAACTAATGAAATAAAATGCTGGTGTATTAGCTAGTTTCAGAATTACTTTATCGAATTTCTTATGTAAAATTTATACTTTTATGCATTTTATATTTCTAATCATAAAATATAAGTGCATTAAAAAAAATTTTTTACATGTACATATGTGCATCAGGTTGATTGCCTGTGCACTTAGAACTTGTGTATTGCATGCGCGCTGTGCATATAGTTCTTGATCCAAATTTTAAACACTGGCTAGTATGACCACTATTACAGATATTCTAACCTAATTGTTAATAACAATTGCCATAATATGAATATTACATAGGTGATTATCCAAATTTTTTACTGTTAATAGGATTTGAACATCTAACTTACCACTTGGAGGATTGACAATCTGATTACTTCACTAGGTTGCCATACTCCTTGTGACTAGTTGTATACACATCTTGTACAAATAATATATAATGTATTTACTAAAAGCACAAATAAAAGCATTAATCACTATTAACATTGGCCTTAAAAAAAAAAAAAAAAAAAAATTGAACATCCAAGTAGAAATATTAGATATAACAATTAATAAAGAATCTTTAAGTAAACTTCTTAAATAAGTAATATAAAAAAGTTATACATTTAACCAATTGTATACTCTTTCTGTAATAGTTCTATATAAAACATATTATTAAAAATAATAATAAAAATCAAAAGACCCAAAAGGTCATTTTTTAAAAAAATATGTCTACTTAGCTATATACTATTAGTCTATTAGCAAAAAGTTAACCCAAATAAGTCTTTCAGAATGTAATTATATATAATTAAATCCGCAAACTTGCATTCTAAAATTTATTTAATTGTAAGTAACATACTTAGCCACTTGACATATAAGCAAATATAAGGGGTACTCTAATATTAATATAAATATTCGTGTAACATCTACGTGACAATTGTATCCCATTAGCCAATCAAAAGGACTTTCCATCATGCTGCTTTTTTGTAAGTACACACCAAAATTTGAAGATCATCCAATCAAGTTGCGCCAATTTGATCATCTCGGATCAGCCCGACGAAACAAAGCAAAGAAAAAAGAAAAATACAAAAAATACAAGAAATGGCAGTCAAAACCTACCTTGAAGTATTAATAAAAAGTGTCGGGAAGTCGATTTTACATATAAAAACTTTTCTAACATTAATCTGGGTTTCCCTAACCCTAATATTAGCTAAATAAACGTTGAATCAAAAGTTGGTGTGGATCTTTAAATTTTGGTGCATCCAGTAATTTCTTTTTAATCGGAGGTTCAGATATAACCGACCAATAAAATTATCTAAGTAATATAAAGTTTCCGGCCCGAGGCGGAAATTTTCTTACGTAAACAGAAATCTCCGGCATTTTACAATAGGTTTTGTGCTCTGCTATCTCCATATATGTGTTAATGTTGCAGTAGACATGATCTTCTAGTTACGGAACGGTTCTATTGCATCACTAGTACTGTACACACATATTTCTACTATAAATAAAATTACCAATAATATAAAATATGTTGGTTAGAAACAATGTTAGATTTGTTAAAGTATTTAATTTAATGAAACGCATTTCTATATAGAAAAATTTTACATAGCAATCAGTTTCTTTTTTTTTGTTGACTTTAGTATATATTATAATAAAAGCCCGTCGTTTTTACTGAAAAATAAGACGGTTTCACTTTTCCTATGTTGTTGGCAAATTCAGCCCATGCAAGTTTCAAAGCACACAATCAGTGACAAATTTATTTGATAGTCATCTGATCTGACGGTTTACTAAATTTAAATGAAAATCATTTTCCACTAGGCCATAATTTCTCGATATAGTGATACGTAACGCGTTTGCGATATTTATTAACTGCAGCAACAAATATGAGTTTTTTTATAGCAAAGTTATTGGTGTAACACATTTATACCGGTTATTTGATAACTAACATTATCGTTACTAATATTTAATCCTAATGTTTCATCCTAATGCTAATACCGTGAGATTAGCAACATTATATCCTATGAAAAGTAATTAAAAGAATCTAAAATTATAAAGATACAACATCTTTGGCAAGGAATCTGGAAATTAATATAGCCTTTTCTAGGCAATTTCCGAGGATGATTCTTTGTCTTACACTTAATATATAAACAATGATGGATAACGATAAAATAAAATTCAATATTTCGGTTCACTCAATAAATTCAAATTATCAAAGATTTTATTATAAAAAAGTAAATTGATTTCTTTTTTAAGGTAAATGTATGTAAAGATTTCATTTGATGTTTATTATTTAATTCCCTGAAGCTATCCTGAATTTGTATTTTACAACTTTCAAAGAACATCATGGATGAAGATGAAAATATTAACATCAAAGATGTCGAAGAAACAAATGATACCAATAAAGACGAAAGAAGAGGTGAAAAAAGAATTATTGATAAAGCTCAATTATTAAAGCGGACGCAGTCCGAAATAGGTATTTTAAAGTTATCGCAAAAAATATTAAGTTTCCAGTAGAGAGGTAATAGAGATCTTCATCAATAATAATAATCCAAAATATTATACTTTTATTTGCATTTAGCTTTTTTAGACAACCGTATACCACGCGCCTCCACTGACCTTATTACACCCCTCCCTATTTCATTCTCTGAGGCTGGTGAAAATCTCGAAGGATTGTTAAAAAAAAATAAAGAATGGGCTAATGCTATTACTGCTCAAGTCCCAGGATTCTTTGCCAATCATGCAAAAGGGCAAAAGCCAAAAATTGTTTGGTTTGGTAAATCAAAATTTACTAATCTTTTTCAGTAGTTTGATATCCTTTTAATAAGCTTATTCACAATGGGTTAACTCGAGATCAACTTGAATTATAGGGTGTTCTGATTCTCGAGTTCCAGCGGAAACTATAGTTCAATTGGGACCTGGTGAAATTTTTGTTCACAGAAATATTGCTAACCAATTCAACCATACAGACTTAAATTCTTTATCGGTATTACAATATGCAGTGGATCATCTTAAAGTTGAGCATATAATCGTTTGCGGTATGTGGCAAAAAAAATTGTTTTTTTTTTCTAACTTTTATTAAAATTTATCATCATCTCTGATTATAGGTCACACTGGATGTGGAGGTGTTCTCGCTTCATTGAGTAAATATATTGGCATAATTTCTTTTTTTGATTAAATTAATTTGCACTTTCTTATTCTTTTCGTTTTCTTTAGGCAACGGACAACACGGGCTTGTTGACCACTGGTTACGTAACATCAAGGACGTTTACTATGCCAATAAACCTAAAATTGATATGCTATCAGAGGAAGATCGTGTAAATGAATTGGTTAAATTTAATGTCGTGCAACAAGTTTACAACATCTCTGCCACAAACATTGTTCAAAATGTATGGGAACATGGGGGTAAACTCGAAGTACATGGTTGGGTTTATGATTTAGGGACGGGTTTGATAGAAGATCTCCAAATTAATCTTAAAAATGCAAAGGATTTGCGTGATCAAATTTTTAAAGTTCAATATGAACAAACTTAAAAACTAACATATTTTAAAGACAAATCCGTTTTGTTTTTTGTGCGCGTCTTTTTACAATATATGTAAATGATATGTACAGTAAATACTTTTCTTTTCATATAATATTGTTATTATTATTAAGTGGTATAAAAAAAAAAGTACATCAATCCAAATACATGAAGCTTAAAATATACAAAACTTATCATGCATTTTAATTATCTAATTTTAGATACAATGAACCTTTATGACAAATCTAGAAAAGCATGCCAATTCATCATATCTGCATTGAAATACAAACAGTATATATAGCTATTTCCAGCGGGGGGGTTTTTTTCATGGCATTTATCTTTTTATGTTTTTCTTGGATTGTAAACTCCAGCTTGGTTATCATTTTATAAGGGAAATAGGTTCTTCAATGCATAAAATAAAATTTTATTAATCATTTCAAAAATTAAGCAATTGTATTCACTCTTGGATAATAACACCCACCTTTATTTTCTCCGAGTCCAGTGGACAAAATAATCACCAAAATTATCAAAAACCAAATAATAGTAATGATGCCCTTTCCCAATAACAAATAATACCATGAGTCTAGTTGGTCTATTGCTTCAGAATCGACATTTGTTGTTAAGTCTTCAACCTTTTCATTTGTATATGATGCACGTGAAGATTCGGGACGACCTTCTTCAAGACGCTGATACGATTGGTATGGTGATGAATTGTGTAGATAACTAAACATTTTTCTTATTTCTAAAGGTTAGAAAGTATATACAGTATTTCAAACGAATTCTAAAACGTCTGAGGAAAGAGAATTTTTATCGATTGTTTAAAAGGGTACGAAGATAAATATAAAATGAAAATAACGTTGTTTATGTTAAATGAAATACCAAAACTCAACAAATCCACCCATTTTAGGGCTTCTTTAAGTATTTGGCGTTGGTAATGTATCATTGGCGTTGGTAATGTTCTTTCTAGAAATTTTGTGGTGTGATGTATCACATTAATAGGTCTTATAATTCCCACACACAGTGGCCAGCACCACTTAAGGAAAGGTTTATACGTACTATATCAATAATAAGTACGAACGCAAGGAAAAAGAAATTTTAAAACCTTTTTTAACTGTATATATTAGGCAAAAATATCATCTTTCTGACAGAATTCTAAAAAAGACTTTTAAAATACTATATTACTGTAGCTAAGCATATAAGAAAAATCGATCTTTAGAAATAGTATGAAAATATTTTTTTTTTAGAATAAACAATGGTTTTTTGTTATGCAGACATATGCAAAACAGGCATGCGAGATTTAACAGAATAATTGAAAGACTAAATATATATTTTATTAATTACAATGTACAGTGGCATGCATTAATTTTTATAATAAAACTAGTTAGTTTTTTTTTTTAATACCCACGAATGATGTCAATAATTACTATCTCTATGTAGCATTATCAAATTATTCTCGTCACCACATTTTAGATTTCAAGAACAGGCATAACGCAACACAATCAAGAAAATTCAAAACAAACGTTCGTTTTGTCAAAAATCGCACACTTCTCAAAATTCAGCATAAGAAATCACCTTTATTGCTCTAATAAAAAGTTTTCGTTGGGCAATTTACTATATAAACTACTCCTCTCTGGTCCCAACTCCGAACCTAACCCTAAAATAAATGAACTTTAAAGAATTTTTGCTGCGTCACAAACCTGATACACATTGAAGAATTGCTTCAGAAATTACTGTTATACAAACTTTTTACTAAGCAAATATTTTAGTAATTATTATTATTAAACATTATCGTTATGGTTACAATTATGATTTCGATTATGATTATATTCAGTGTTGTCAATTTCTTATTATATTGATAAAAAAATAATATTCTATTCTATTGTTCTATTGATTATTGCTATATTGCTATATTAAGATCTAATTATAATCTTGGCAATTTTTGTTCTATTGACAAAATTTTTATTCTATTTTAAATTCTATTGCTCTATTCATCTATTGCTACCAACACTGATTATATCCTACCAAAAAGAGTATACGTGGCAAGTGTTTATACGTATTGTAACTAGTATATGAAATTTGGTTTGAAATTTATATTCTCGTGAGAACAAAATATTCTCGAAAATATTTTTATTCTCAATAATGAAAATTATTTATGTTCGTTTTTGATGTTCTTTCCGGAATTTTTCGGAGCTTTACCCAGTCATATATGAGGATGAGTCAATAGAAATCAAGCAAATTGTTTTTGTTGAATTTTTTTAAAAAATTTTAAATGCTAATAACTTAACAAAACTTATCAAATTTAATAAAATTTTCATTTAAAAAAAAATTTATTAACTTTGATTAAGTTGTTGTTAAGTTATTGTTATTCAAAGTTTTAAAAAAATTTACTTAGAAAAAATTTGGTTGCTTGATTTCTATTGACTCAACCCTTATTTTTTTAATTTTTAATTAAGGGTTAGTTTGGGGTTAGGATCTGGGCATGTCTTATAGTAAAATTATCATTTTTAACATTTTTTCAAGATGGGTTTAGACTGTCGTTTCTTGTATTTTTGGAATTTCCATTTTTTTTTGCCTCGAGCTAATCAAAATAACCGACCTTATATCACGTGATAGACACGGCTTTAGACTAGAATGTCCAGAACAGGGTCGATGATTTTCTGCGGTAGTTAAGACTAAATTCTGCGTGTGGTTAAGGATTCTGTAATTCAATGTGATAAAATTTTTGTATAATGTATAATTTTTGAATTTTGTAGTACAATATTGTAATTTTTGTGATTTAATGCAATTATACATTGCTTTATCGTCTACCTTTACGGGATTTTCAAATGACAGCTTGAATTTATGGTCAAATCCTGAATTCTATGGTATTCTGTGCATTTTTTGGAAATCTATGATATTCTGCGGTGACTAAGGATGACTACTGTTGTTGGCCGTGAATAAGAGAAATTCTGGATGTTTTCTGTAAATCTCGGAAAATCATCTAGGATTATGTTTCAAATTATTTGTGTAATAAATTATAAGTTAGGGATTAGGCTTGAAAAAATTTTCTGTTGACCAATCAAGCTTCAATATCAGGCTTACCATAAGATAAACAAACGTTTACACATCTGAACATTTCAGATTTGGACATGAACATATAAAAAGTTTTGATGGGTTTAAAAATTATGTAATTTGATTGGTTAATTATCATGGGTAGATCTACCAATCTTTATTACTGCATTATAAATAAAAAGGTCGTGTGCAGTCACCTGACATATGGGGGTGTCAGTAGAAACCAAGCAAATTGTTTTTAGTGTTTTTTTAAAATTTTAAATTAAAATATCTCAACAACTAT